GTTTGAGATGACAGACCCATAACACTGTCCAACAAATTTTAACTTTTTTTTTGTGTTCTGATCTCTACTAGGTGATTCTTATAGTGTTTTGCACGCTGATTACGAATCTGCAAACCGTTTTGCTCCTATACGTACAGTTTTTGAGAAATTTGATTTTGAAGAAAAAACATATTTTTCAGATTTAAACAAATTGTCTGACGTAATTATAAAAGATATTGAAATTCTATTTACACTGAAAGATTCTGCAGACTTTCCTGAATACATCGATACCTATCTTTAATACATTATAAATGTTTAAGTATATTTAAACGATCATTGAACGCGGAGAGACCCCGAATTGGCACCAATTTTTTAGGATATTTTTCAATTTATCTGAAAAACTAGAGGTCCAGCGTAAAATCGAATTATACCACGCGATAGAGCAGATTTTTATCTTGAGAAACCACCCAAAGAAAGTTGCAATATCGATATTTTTATCAAGCCAGACAGCGAAATAGCTTCGCGGGAGACGAAGTACCGACAGTGACGCTCCGCGTTAGGTCGGTTCCTCGGCGTCCCGCCTAATGCAGTTGCTTTAAGCGGTAATATAAGCCGCCGTAGCCACCTTTACGCCTCTCCGACCCAAGCCTTGTCGGCAAGGGAGGCCCTGCCAGGATCCGTAGATCCCACCGGCATCTACGAGGCTACTTCGACAGCAGCGACCGCCCCACAGTGCACAGTGCAACGATTAGTCACGTGCTCAGTGACACTCAATCAATTGACTAAAAATGCCGAAGTCACGCGACCCGTCGCATGGACAAAAATCAGAAAATGAAGAATTTGCTGGGGCAACATCTAGCATTGTTTATGGTTGTGTAACGACCCAGTGATAGGTACGTCACTGCACCGACGTATAGGGAGAGCGGTTCCCCAAGAAGGCGACTCGTATGAATGAGAATAGGGATTATAGGTTCGTGTGGTGTGCGGTTAAGGAGTGAAATCCAACATTAATGTATCAAACTAAAATTATCTTTTATTCAAGTAAGTAAATTAACTATAATTGCTCTAAGTATAATATTAAGTATAACAATAGGTACGGCTATAATATGAAATACAATAAGAAATTATAATAGGTACGCCCTAGATAATGAAATACAGTGGAAAATATATGATTAGTGGTTAGTAAGTAATAACGCGACTTGATCTTCGAATACAGCCAATACTCTGTACAATTTGCCAAGTTACACTAAGTACTGGAAAACTATATTCTAGTAGCTTGTATGATACCTTCGGACACGAGCGGACTATACCTACAGATCGCAATCGGTTTCTGGTCTAGCCAGAGCTATGCTAATACAGGCCTGCTCAAGGAGCTTCGCTCCTCGCTAGCTCTTTACACTTGAACGTGTGGCTTAGTATTAGCACGTGTTCAACACGTTGCGTACCATGAGTAGGGTGTCCACAGATCCGAACTCTCGTACGTCGCTACTGAAAAAGAAGGATAGAGCTAATCTCGCGCTCTATAGTTGCCTAAGCAATTCAGCGCAAGCTTTTCCTCTACTTCCAGAGTATTGTCTGCATCTGACCGAAGCCAGGGAAGATCTCATCTGGCTCTGCGTGGAACGCCTCTATTTATAGTCAGATTCTGCTGACTTAGCGTTTTTTTTTTATTATAGGGTTCCTCTGAATTTCTGGAATTCCCCATCACGTGACGGCCGAGCACCCCTGCTCCTTAGTCTACGCGGTCACCCTACTCTAGAATCTCACCCCACCGCGAGATCATCGGGGTTGCGCTGGCGCGTATGCATTCGTTTGTCGATCATTTATCGATAATCTATTTACCGACCGACTTACCGTCTAATTGCTTATCGACTTATCGCTTATCGACTTATTCAATCAGACTATATTATCGATTAAATGAAATTTATTTATTATAAGAAGTATAATACAAATCAAACTAATTACTTTTTTATAAATTCAATTAAACGTAAAAATTAACTTAACTATTTCGTACAATATTTAAACCAAAAATAAATCATAACAACAACAACGAAATGAAAAAGGTGCTGGGTCTTCTTAACGGGTCGTTACAGTTGCTAAGCGACCGCATTTATTTATAGTTATATGGCTATCTAATCGTAGCATTTTATTACGTTAAGTTTCAGTTCGCAGTTTACGACAATACAATTTACTTCTTTTTTTTCACTTAATCTGTTGTAATATTCATTGTACATAGCTCATTTTTTCTGTCATTGATTCCACTATTATGGGTATGTTTATTTCATAGATGTTGCCTAAATTAATAATCTACTGATTATTATAAAAGCTCCTTATGCGCGTGATTAAAAATTATATTTTAAAATAGACTTTTAAAAAAAATGTAAAAAAATGTATCAGTGATTCTTTTATATTTAGTTCGTCTAACTTTATATTTCATGGAAACAAAGTTCACTTCTGCTACTACCTGCTAATATTTGAGAAATAAATTTTTTTAGAACGAATTGTGAAAATCAAGAACATCGAACTTGCTAAAAAGTGTATATCCATAGAACAAGGTAACAAAGTTGGTGGAATCTGTGATTATATTTTAACTCTTTTAAATATCAAGGACTTTAACGAAGCAACTAATGGTGAATTAATGAAAAGTTTATTTTCATTTAAACATTCAAAGATTGTGGAATAAGTGTTCAAAAAACAGAATTTTATTCAAAAAGCGGCATCAACTTTGGTTAGTTTCCAAATTTAAGCTACCAGAAAAAATTCAGAATATGTCAAAAGATGTAGTGACAGAACAGCTAGCTACTGGGAGTTGCGGGAGACCTAGAAAGTCATTTGAGGACTCGTCAGAGAAAACGAAAAGTTGTAGGGTTGAAACTTTTATTCAGTCGTAGCAGCCAGAAGAACTGAATTATGCTGTGAAAATTTCTGCGAATTTGACTGTTATGAATGTAAAGAACGTCAGAAGCTCTTTATCACCCCAAGAAGTGTTGGCTTTGTACTTTAACCTAGACCTGTCAGAAAGAAAATACAATTTGTTGCGAAGAACGGTCAACGCTACGCATGAAAATTTATGCACTGAAAGAGTTGAAGAAGTTTCTACCGATGAACAACACCATAACAGAGACCACAGCATACGTTGATCTCCAGGAATTATTAAACAAGACGGCTGAGAACATCGTAAATGTTATAAATATTGAAAAAAATACTATATCTACTTTGATATGTAAATGAGGATCTGATGGAAGTTCAGGGCATAGCACGTATAAGTAAAAATTTGTTGACCCGAAAAATACGGATGAATTTTTGTTTTTAATTGCTTTTTGTCCATTTAAATTAATAGACAATGAAAATAGTAAAGAACTTTGGAAAAATCCACATCCTTCCTCAACATTATATTGTAGGGCAATAAAATTTATGTTCATTAAAGAAAGTAAAACAGTTATAACAAATGAAGAAATGGCAATGTCAAAATTAATCAATGAATTAAGAAAGCACTCGATTTTAAAAAATGATTGTAAAATTGACATTTTTTACAAAATGTTACTTACTATGATTGATGGTAGCGTAAGCAACATTTTGTCTGGAACTAATTCTGCTTCTAATTGTAAGTACTGTGGGAAAGGGGTGCATCCGCGGGTGCTCACGTCCGCGGCTCGACCGGGCCGATGACACGGGCAAACCAACGAGGCCAACGCACGTGAGCATAAACACGGAAAAAGACGTTGCGACAACCGTGTTTAGGCGCGTGCAGGCAACAAAGACCGAGGCCCGATACATATAAAAACAGCGACTAGTGCGATGAACCGCGTTTTTGTCAACGCGGCAGGTCAAGACACGGCCGCCGCGAAAGGTTACAATAACGGTTAGAGTCAGTCGAAACGAAACCGTCGTGGACGTAACCTGACAGGCGAACGGGCGAAATATACGGTCGATTGGAGAAAAGCGTAGTCTAGTTTAGTTTTATTTAGTTTAGCTAATTAATTAAGTTGTATAATCATAGCTTTAAGATACCCAGTAAACGTTAAACCAAGCGAACGATCCGCGTTAATATTGTTCCATTCCACCCAATCCTACAGTACTATATTTGTGGCAGTTCTCCAAAGGAAAAGAATAATACACGTGCAATCAGCAATAAAACGCCTAACCGGGAAAATTATCGCTTTGGAATCTCCCTACTTCATTGTTGGATTCGAAGCTTTGAGTGTTTGATCCACATTACATATAGAATACCTTTAAAAACTTGGCGGGTCCGTGGTTGCGAAAATAAAACGATTTTTGAAAATCGTAAAAAGGAAATACAAAATTCATTTAAAAACACAATGGGTTTAATCGTGGACAAACAAAAACCTGGCTTCGGATCCAGCAATGATGGCAATACCGCTAGACGATTCTTTGCTAACTCAAAATTAGCGGCAAAAGTTACGGGCTTAAATGAAAAGTTAATCCAAAATTTTTACATTATTTTAAGAGTAATTTCGACTGCAAGAAACATAAATTTACCTCGGTTTAGTGAAATTTTGCTGGAAACTAAAGATATGTATATGACATATTATAGTTGGTATTATATGCCTAGCACCGTACATAAATTATTAATTCACGGCTCAGATATAATTTCCTTTTTTGATTTATGTCAGAATGTACGTTCTGCCTCCTTTGTCCCTTTCTCCATTCTCCCCACCTAAGCGGCCAAGGGGACCGCGTCACGAGCTGGAAGCTCGGTATACCAGTTCCTATTTGCGTACCAAAGAGCAAAGAGCGTTTTTGTTGAATTATAGTACTTACTTATTAATAACCATATACTTTATCTTAACATACATAAATATATTCAGACTACTGATTCTTCTATAAAACTGAGAGTATTAATTATTACCGATCTAAACACCTTTTAAATAGTATCCCATCAGGTTATGGGCCCAGGTTTTGGACAGTAAACGGTAATCGTGCTAATAGTGAGAAGTGAGAAGAGTTTTGATTTGAGAAGAGATCGTAGAGAGTTGTTTGAAAGTTTAAGAAGAATAGATATGGCCCAAAAGGGAGATAAGACAATGGACAAAGGTAAGCACAAATATAAATACAAAGTACATGGGTGAAGAGTGAGATGTGTTGCATAGAGACGAGCATGAGATGTGAGTGTGGAAAATTTTGTGCGGTTCCTTTTTTTTAATTCACGACAAATTGCGAAGGGAAAAGAAAAACACGTGCAAAAGCACAAAATGGCTGCCTATGTTAGAAGTGCGAGGCTGAGATGTGTTGTGGATGTGTGAGCATGAGAAAACAAAGAGATATTTGAAAAACAAGATGGCGGTGCCGAGCAACGGTTGCGAAAACGTGGTCAACGAAAACAAAGAGATGTTTGAAATATCACGATTGGAAATGCTAACATGGCGGCGCGGCTGCGCAAAAACACAGCTGCCTATGAGAATAGATGTGCGCATGACGTAGAGAAATAGAGATATAGAGTTGGGAGGGAGAGAGAGGTTAGCGCTTATGACATGCCTGGTCTACTGCAGAGGCCAGGAAAGTATGAAGATGACACGGGGACGCCTGTTGTCGATCATCGGTTGCCAGTGTTTTCCCATCTGACCCTCCTAACCCTATTCAGATGAGATTAATAGTTGAAATATCTTTTAGACAGCTGTATCGGTGAGTGTTATAACTTCAAAAATTGCTTACAGAAAGTTCTGTGCTCCTGTTGTTTCTAAAGACTCAGACAGCTGTGCACGCTTTGGATGAAAAACATAGAAATGAAAGAGTGGTAGTGAGAAATGACAGGAAAAATGTGTATTTTGTGTCGGAGTCGGGAGAAGTGTATAAAATAGGTATATGTAGAAAAACTATACAAGTGCGAATGAATGTGAATTTTATATGTTGAGACTGTACAGTATGGAAAAATAGATGTGTGTGAAAGGACTGGTTGATGAGTTGATAAAAAATATATTGAGCTCTAGGGTAACGTTACAAATCCATGAACTTTTGGATGCTGCGACTGAGACTGGACATTTTGCCAGATGACCAAAGAAGGTTGTGAATGAGATGTATGTGAAATGATTTGACAGAGTGAACAGTCGCAGTGTCCCAAAGTAGTCTGATCATGGATAGGATGACGAATGTTGTACTTCTGTCATCTGAAGTAGTGGATATGAGATTGGATGCGATTTTGAAGATTCATTGCATCTAACCTCTGGTCCGTCTCCAATCTGGTGATACTTGAAGTTCGGTCTGACAGATCGAAAGAAGTATAAATTTGAATTACTAATTATAATTAAACTTCGCAGATAAGAGCACCCTGGACAAGAGAGAAGAGAAGATAGTCACAGAATCTATTGATAGAGTGGAAATGTTAGGGGGACGGCTTCTGCTAGACGGCCCCATATATGATCTAGACGAGGCGTTGGTGACCGAGATAGGAGATGAAGTGATAGATGAGGAGATGAGTGCTGTAGGAGAAGAGTTAGATGAGGAAGGACTGTTGGATGAGCCGGAGGTGAGAGGAATACGACCGATAAACGAGCAGAGCGATGAGCTGGAGGAAATAAAGAAAGAAATAAAAAAGGAACACGCTGACACCAAGAAGTCGGTGGCAGCGGTGTGTGGTGCCATGGTCACCTCAGTAAGGAAAATGGCCGCGGCTCTAGCGAAAGCAGAGGAGTTCAACGACGAGCAACGGACTAAGGTCGTGAATCGCCTGGAAGGACTGGCTGAGAAGCAAACACAGTTCGTTGAGAGATACTCATCAATCGTCCGAATTTTCAATGGGAGATTACTTGACCACCAGGACGCCTACAGAGAGGACAGAGATGAGAGAGCCAGACTGATTGAGGAAAACTTGATGAAGAAAGAGGGAGAATTGGAGAAAAGAGAGGATGACTTGAGACAGGAGAAAATACTGTGGAGACGAGAGAAGGAGAGGAGCGCGACGAGGAGATTAGAGGTATTTATGAATGAACATGTTGACTGTGTTGAGCAACTTTCTGCTGGATGTGAAGTAGATACTGATGTAATAGGGAGTAATGTTAACTATCTTAGAGGAAACCGAGGTGAGCCGACTGAACGTGAGGGTTTAGCTGATAAAGATGAGATCACGAGAGCGGTTGCTTCGGAATTTAGGAAGTTAGGAATAGAACAGGTGTTAGAGAAGTTAGAAAAAGCAAAAAATGAAAAGGCAAAAGAAACGATTAAGTTGGAAGTGACAAATAGAGACGCGGGTTCAAAACGAGACTACAAACTGACTAGTCAGACCAAATGTCAGAGTTGAGATCAAATGATTTATTGTACGTTATAGATTCGACGGTACAGGCGAGTTCGACATATGATAACGAGATAAGCGAAAAACATAGGCATAGAGTCAGAGACATTTTGATAAATAGAGTAGACCTATCACAGGAAGGTTGTGAACATTAAAGACCCTGTTGAATTGTTGTAAAAGATACGGGAATTGAAGCGAGGGGAAGTTAACATGACCTCCGTTAGCTTGAGACAGCAATTGTATACTATTAAATTCTTCTCGACCTATGACAGGAAGGTTCTGAACATTAAAGACCCTGTTGAATTGTTATAAAAGAAATGGGAATTGAAGCGAGGGGAAGTTAACATGACCTCCATTAGCTTGAGACAGCAATTGTATGCTATTAAATTCTTCTCTAATAAAGAGAAAATAGTCGAATTTCTTGATAGGTTCGACGAAATCCTTCGGAATTACGAGGGCATTCCGAATGCGCAGCCGATCTCAGAAGATGAAAAGAGAGACGCGTTCTATAATGCTGTGGTAACAAGCACCCCTCAAGTGCAGTCGGTGAACTTCCTTTTTATCCGACTTCGAAAAGGAGGAGGATATTCAATTCGATGTGTATGTAATTTTTTTTTTTTTTTATGTATGTTCGCCGATTACTCCGAGACGGATGGACCAATCGGAACGATACCTTTTGCATCTGGTAGAGTATGTCTCCCGATTGGTCCCGTTAAAAAAACATTTTATATTTTTACATTCCGAACGCTTTTTATTGCAAAAAAACGTACTATTTCATATACGTGCGGCGTACGTTCGCCGATTATTCTGAGACGGATGGACCAATCGGAACGAAACTTTTTGCGTCTTATAGAGTATAACTCCCTATTGGTCCCATAAAAAAAAATATTTTGTATTTTTTCATTCCTAACGACTTTTATCGCAAAAGACGTAATACATCATTTATATCTTCCGGCGTCTATGCTGCAGGGAATGTACCGATTGCGATGAAACCTTTCACATTTAGTAGGAGGTATATCCGCAATGATCCAACTTGCGAAAATTTATGGAATTTGTTAACAACTACTGTTATAGCAAAAAATCTATTCCTTCATGTTACTCTGCAAGGAATGTATCGTTCGCGATGAAACCTTTCATATTTAGTAGGATATACAGGGTGCCACGCGACTACCTTGACAGCCAAAGAGGGATAATTGCTAAGGCAATTCTAAACAACGTTTTCCTTTGCCAAAATGTTGGTTAAGGCTTGGTTTTCGAGTTAATAACAAAAAACACCGATCAATCCGAGCGCATATAGCGCGCAGTTCCAGGGACTGCAATGTCGGGTACGAAAACCGGGCCTGACGTAGGTCGCGAACGAACGGCTTGGCACCCCGTTGGTATAGCACAATAAAAAAACTGAACTGGTAGAACATTTTTAGTCGTTGTTTTGAATGAATACGGAACCTAATCTCTTGTCGCCTGTCATAATGTAAAAAACGAAATTCTAACGCGTAGCATCTTCTGCCTGTAGCGAAGAATATTTCAGGGAATTAAAACAACTTGTTTTCAAAAATAGTAAGTAAAGGTCTCAAATGGACTAATGCAGTTGCAGACTGAGACATATACCATTCGAAAACAGTAAGTGTAACTAAGATTTGAACAAAATTTTAGGTGCAATGGGTGAAGGGTTTAGGAATTATGGGCCTTTGAAGTTAACATGGGCTTCTATGGCAAATGTCACAAAACGTTTATTTTACTTGTTTTTTCATGCTCAACGATTTAAAAACACGGCAGACGAGTCAAAAATTTTCAAGTTGCAAGCAAATTGTTATTTTGAAACTGATGCACTACTTATTACAATCATTGTGTAGTTCAGAGAACAGGCAGTGTTTCATACAGATACTCATGTCACAATGAGCGCACCTGACGAAAGCAATAGAATTGCAATCAGCTTTGAAGCACTTGTCGTTCATAATGCCATCGAATCAGAAGTCGTACGGCGCGATCCATGTTCCGGGTTCCTCATCCAGGTATCCTGATTTGTGGAATGCAAATCGAATCATGTTCCTGAAGCGAGGAGCGCTGAACTGGTAAATCGTGAATGCATGCAGCTGCAAGAAGCGGTCACGATGCCAGATGTTTACGTCAGTTGAAGTGATTGCTGTGTCTGTTATGAATCGCACAAAGGCTTTGTATGGACGGAAGAAGTGCACATCCAAAGGCTGGATCATGCCTGTTCAACACCTTCTGGTACAAGCTGTGACGACAGATTGTCATCTTTGTTTGCAGACCAGGAATCCAGAAGCAGGAGAACTTTGTGCCGATCTTTAGGCATGCTAGGCCACATGACCTCCGAATAGAAGGTTTTCAGGTCTGCTTTGCTCATGTTCGCTGTTTTACCAGCGAATGCTTTGATGTTTGCCGGATCTGCTGGTTTAGATGCCGGAAAGACACCTTTTGCCTCTGCGACGAGAACGTACATTGGGCGCAGAATTTCGCCATCCATTGACACGATCAGCATGATCATGTAGGAGTGAGTCGTTGCACTGACGGAGCCGACTGCAGCTCGAATCTTCACCGTTCCCTTCTCTCTCAAAGTGCGATATGAGTGCAGTTCTTTTTCGAATCGGCTCTGATCTGTGTTGAAGACGTCTTCTGCTCCAATGTTGTCTGCGATCATGAGCTCCCTGATGGATGTCACAAACTCGTCAGCTTGCTGCTCTAAACGTGCATCTTTCTCTTTCCAGTTCTTTGACACACGGTGAGTGATGGCTCTGCTCACAATACGATTACACTTTTTGAACCTTTTGAGCCAGCCGACTGATGCTTTAAACTCGAATGTGTTTTCCGGATCGAGTTCGCTCTTCACTTGCATTGCCCACAGACGAAGTGTCCGATCATGGATAATGGCACAACGCTTTGCCATCTCCTTAAACTTGTCCAGAACGATCGCATTGATCTTCTTCATAGAAGGCTTTGCAAGACTCTTCTCAAAGTTGTACAAGACACTTGCAGTCTTTATCTGCCGGAACTGATTCATGACCGTCGACATCGATCTTCTTTTTTCGAGGATCTCTCCACCTTCGCCTGTAGTCCAGAACTGAAAAGCACGCATCTTGTACTCCTCGTCCAGAGTCTTTTGCTTTTTTGCAGGCGAAGGCATGAAGACAGTCCCTAGAAAAATCCCTAGAACGTAGAACACAAATTACGTCGTCATTACTGAACAGAAAGTAAAAAAATTTGATGTACGTGTTCAGGAGGCCCTAAAAAATGGCGCGCTGGGCCTTACATTATTCAAATCGTCAAAAAGTTATAAAATATTGAAATTTATGTCTGTCAACGGTGAAGAAAATGGCGGATCGGACTCACCTGCATCAATTTATTCGTAATATAAACATTTTTGCGAATCGTATGTCCAAATAGAGACCAGAGCGCCATTCTTTGGGGCGGATAGAACAAAACGAGCACCCAAGGGATGATATACAAGCGTCCAGGTAGACGAAATTTGTGTTCAACGATTTTCACTCGCGAACAGTGTTGCCACCTCTACGGATTTTTCCGTAGATTTACGGAATTTTTATATCATTTACGGAGTTACGGATTATACACTCAAATCTACGGATTTTTTGTCTTTTACCTTCTCCGTTCTTTTTTCAGAATTTTGCAATCCACAAATAAATTTTATTGTATCGATCGTCAATCGTCACCACCTAGTTCTACAAGTGAACTATTAAAAATGAATTTCTAGTGAATTTCTAGTTCCATAAATTGTTGGTTACATGTAGATGTAATATTATTTGAAATTCGAGTCGACGTTACAGTCGTGACATCTTATAGAACATCTTACAGAAACAATCAGACTATCACAATCAGTTATAAAAAGAAATAAGAAATTAATAGAATAAATAAACGTTATTTTCAGGTATTTTATACTTATTTTAGATTTTTTTACTTTTACCAATATATGTAGACAAATATACATTTAAGCATTTTATTTTTCAGTGTTGTGCCCTAAAAATTTAACAGAATTAGACAGAGAATGGCGATTATTGAGAAATTTACAGTTACCATTCTCACAAAATGATAATGTAAAAGTAGAAACGTTTTGGCATTACATATCAACTATAAAGAATGGAGATGGATTTCAGAGCTATCCTTTAATATCCAGTTTTGTTGAAACTCTTTTATGTTTACCACATAGCAGTGCCAATGTAGAAAGATTATTTTCCTCTGTGGTGAAAACGAATGTAAGAAATAAATTAGGCACCAAGTCCTTAACAGGACTATTGCATACAAAACATGCAATAAATGTACCCTGTTTTGATGTGCCACTTACAGAAGAATACAAAAATTTATTTAATAATAATATCTACGATTTTAAGAAAAAACTCAAAGACCATAAGAGGGACGATAGCAGTGTCGAATGTGTCGATGACGATTATGAATAACTAGTTGTAATGTAATAATTTATTTATTTATTTATTAATAATAAACGTGCGAAGCCCTTTGTAATACATAGTGGTAGATAGGATATATAATCAGTAAAAGCAGATCTTGTCAGTTGACATACGATGATTACATAAATGAAAACTTAAGATAAGCATAGAAGAAAAACTAAGCATAGAAGTAAACATATTTATAAGCAAAAACATAAACATACTCATAACTCCAGTCCGCGGTAATCTCACTGTAGTATACAAGCGCCTTAAACCTAACCTGTCATGTGCGAAGCGTAAGTGCGCCATTCTTGTGAATGAAAAGGCGTAGCGAGTCAAAGAGTGTTAGTGAGGTTAGAAAGACGTGTATAGTGCTCAAAAAAAAGTGACAAGGTGTGCATTCAGTGTGCAGGAAGTGCTACATTGAGGTGGTGTTACATAATTGATTACGCAGCTTGTGTTTGGTTGTATTAACAGAGTCGACAAATATGTCACACGTTGAATTGAAGCGATTTACAGTGGCACAGGATCTTCTAACAGTGTTTAGGTGGCCATATTTTGAAGAATACATAGTTTCTTGAAAAAGAATAG